TGGCTGCAGATAAGGCATGAATCTCACGTCCCATATCAACCTGTGCGAAAACCAAGTTACAAATGAGCAATAACTTTTACACAAGGCAAGTTTATGGCAAATTAAGGCCATGGCTACATGTACTGCTTTATAATTAAGAAAAGAGTTACTGGCAATACATACATAAAGCTTTCTGAGATCTATGTGAGAATGGAGTTTATAGCTTGCTGCCACAAAAAAACCCTGCCACAACTGAAAAACCTTCAGCACTAACTTTCTTACATAGGACAGCAATAATTTGTGCCAAGTAATGGACACATGGGTATATCTTAGCTCAGATGTGCCAGCTGACATGAACTGTATGGGATAGTTCACTGCTTGCCAACCTTTTCCTCCCAAAGATGGAGAGGCAGGTGGTTGAAGATGGCATGCTCAGAGAAAGCTCCTATCCCCTCTTTGACACAGCAATCCCTCTCTCCCCACTCAGCAAGAAGATATTTATAATATTTACTGCCTTACATGGTTTTCATTGATCAATTTCTGCAGAGCAGGGAAACTTAAACGCATGCCCTCAAGTTCCAGAGAATCACAGTAGCCTGCATTTACACTAAGTCTGTTAGCCGTCCTATGAAAATGTGTTTGCAACTCCAGTTTCTGGAGATACTGGGTTGACAGTACCAAAGCTAGTTTAAAAGTAACTCCCTGGTTGTTTTTTGTTTGTTTGTTTGTTTTGAGATCTCCTGTAAAACAAAGGAATTTATAAGGATTACATTCTTAACATTGTGAATAACCAGATCTTTTTCTATCATGATTTCTTTTGTGATAGCCACTCTTTTGCCTAAGATTAGTGTCTGCAACAGAGACCTCCAGAGATAAAATATCAAATTTAAAAAAATCAAAAAGATTCTTCTCAGGTTTGTGCAAAGAAGAGAAACCAGAATACCCAGGCATTAGTTCACAAATCTTTCATTAGTTTTATTTTAGCCCCAAAAATGCCTCAGTGTTTAAGTGAGATCTGAGCAATACAGGGGCAGCACGAAGGCCCTAAGGATTAATACTTCTGAAATTTAAAAAAATAATCAAATTTATATGCTATAAAAAAGCACACTGTGGTTATTTTGGTTGAGAATCAGTCCTTGCAGAGACAGATAGATCAAACTATTTCCTCTGCAAAGGGGTGACTTCCAACAGTATGATTGTGGATGAAGAATTCAGCATTGAGAGTCAAAAGTCTTAACCTTTTTCTCCAAAAATATTTATCCTAATAGATGAATATGAATTGTGAGCTTAAGTCAGACTCCTAGTCTGTGCAGAAATTAAGAACAGTATCATTTCAGAGTCTTTGATATATGCCCTCTGAGGTATCATTTATAAGTTATATAGTTATAAGCTGAATTTGCATTATCATCATGTATTTATGATAAACAATATTGCAAGGGAACATAACCTTAAATCCCACAGAAATCAATATACTCACTCCATCAAAACTAATCTGGATGCTTTTCTGAATGCAACTTTAATCATTACTTTGTATGTCCCACATTTCTGAGATACTTAAAATTCTTGATTTTAAGATGGCCGTCTACGTAGGTCCTTCATTTAACAATTTCTGGTTTATTTTAGCAAAAGCTCAGCAAAGAAGAAGTATGTAAACATCTCACCTGTCTCTGACTCCTTTGCTTTGTCAATAAGCCTGCATAAAATTCTACAAAGTTCTCAAACAGGGATTTGGAGAAATAATCTAAGGCATATGCAGCAGCCAGATAAGGAAGAAGACGCCATTGCTAGAATAAAAATTAAACAGATTTGATTGCAAATCAGTATGTATTTTTTATAGTTATATATATGTAACTTATAATATTGAACCACTTGTATTTACTTTGTTCAAATTGGAAACCTGTTTTACGGAGAACTTAGCAATAACCATCTACAACCATGAAGAAGTGTAACTATACACAAGTCACAGTTACATTACTCTAGTTCATGCATTTCATGGATTTGTGATAACCATTCTGTTAAACCAGGGCAAAAGGTCACTGAAGCTTTGGGGACCAAGGATGTATTTTTGCCCTGTGTTTATACAACGTCTGGCATGCCGGGACCAGTCATGATTTATGTGTTTCTTCAGTACCAGCATGACAGAGGTTGTAACTGCTTCACTTGCTTGTTCAGTGCTTCATGTACGTTAGCACTGGTTGCATTCTGTGGAAAAAAACCCAAGGCTGGGAAGCAGAGAAAAATGCATCTTTGCTGCTCCATGCAACTCAGAGCCCTTCATGGGAAAAGACAACCTGCTTTTGTGGTAGAGCAATAAGGAAATGAGATATTCAGCAAGCAGAGCTCATGGAACAAGCCAAAACTGAGAAAAATGGAGACTTGGAAAATTGTGGGAAGCAGACCCTGGCTTATACAGAAGAGGTGGAAAGAAGGCAGCTTTCACCAGTTTTTAGAAACCCATGAAATCTTTCAAAGTTGCAAGACTAAGTGCAAACCTGGGAGAAAACACCCACTTTGCAAAGACAAACTGGGCAGGTTTGTTTTCGGCACTTCTTATATATTAAACTTTCTCATTCAGCAGATCTGAGTTTTCTCTATTTCCCAATTACCCTACATACTCTTGTTCTATTTCTTTTCAGAGCAAAATGTGTTTTTAATCTGCAAAATCTGCAAACGTTCATTCTATTCCTTTCAAAATACGTGCTATCTTAGACTTTACCACAATGAATGTCATTGATTTCTATACTTTCAAAGCATAAAGGCTAAGAAAAGAGAAAATTAGCATAGCAGCAAAAGAGGCACTGACATTTTTACACAATTACTAGTTTCTACATCTGCAATACTTTCATGTGTGCATAGAAGACAGTCTTTGAAAAGCTTATAATTTTAGAAACCGAATGTTTCTAGGTACTTCAGAGAAACATGAGTGTTTTGGGGTTTGCTATTCCAAGAATTTATACCAAGAGCCTGGTATATGCCAGGAGAATGTCTTGATTTGGAATGAACCCCCCGAGCTGCACTAGGAGTGGTACTTCAGGTGACACAGACAACTCTGGTTTCACTAACTTCAGTGTTCCTATTCTGATCTGTAGTAGCTCTGAATCTGAGTTCCATTATATAGAAATCTGCAGATGTGAATTCCAAAGTACTTACCTGCATTTGGTATTCAAGAACAGGTATTTCTTCATCATCAGTTGGTCCAAACTGACGGCGAGCTGCTGAGAAGCGAACGGCTATTGACAGGGCAAGCTTTAAATTGGTAGTGGAAATTGCTGTGATGAAAATTCTGCCAGTGGACAAGGATCCCAGAGCTGCACTAAAACGCTCTTTAACATCCTGAGTGAATAAAAGGCACAGACTGAATGGTGAGGCTAATGTTTCATTTACATCCCCTGTGAAGATACAATTCCTGTAGCAGGATCAGAGGCCCACTGGATTGGCCAATTTTGGGTTTTGACACATTCAGATAAGATGTTCAGGCAAGACTCAGAGCAGTTTCTCTAAACTACTTGATGCAAAGAGCAAGAAGCCAGTAAAATCAGTAAGGTGGGTTGAGACATCCCTGAAACACAATTAAAAAATGAGCATTCTGACTATCTGGTGAAATTGTCAACAGCCTTATCTAAGTTCAGGTACCTAGGACTTCCCAAAATGAGAGGCCCATGCTCTTTCTCTGAACCTACTTATACCTTTGTATATTTAATGAACTGTATCAACGAAACAAAACCTTGATTCATACCTTGATTGAACTTGAGTACTTCCCCTCAGGTGTGACATCTGCAGCTATACTCAGTATGTTTTCTTTAGGTATCCTGACACTGTGGAACATGGCAAATCTGTTGAAACACATACACAAGTCATGTAAAATCTACCTTGACATGGTCTGAGGAGTTTACAGAAAAAAAGGTCACAATGAAGACAGGATTGCACAATGATCTCAGGCATATCACTGAACTGAAAACAGTGCTCATCAAGCCAGGTGGGTAGTTTTAAGAGAGCATGCCTGGGAGATCAAAGGCTTTCAGAATAGGCAGAATGTCTTGACTATTTGTATTCTTCAGGAAGAAAGTGTATGAACTGTTTCACCCAAATGGGCAATACAGCTTGGCACAATAGCAGTAATATCAGCTCCATGCATGAATACCTCAGTATCTAATAGCACTTGAAAAGCTGTATTTGTAATCAAAGCAAATTCCTTTTTCCTGCCAATAAAGGCTGATCTTTTTAATAAGGCTCACGAGAGCCAGGTCTTTCACATTAATAAATTACATAAGGGCTGTACTGCTGCATGCACTTTAAAATTACGAGTTGTTTCCAAGGAAACATATCTGCATACTGAATTTATTCAACCTTAGAGATACACAGTATTTTTGGACTTAGCCATAGAGAAAAGTGTGCTATCCTGACCAAGGACCAGCTGCTCAGTGGCCTTGATGATGCTAAAAAGAGCTTTATGAAGTGCCAGTTTCAGTGAGACACTGCTTTCTAAAACAGAAGCAAATTCAGAATTTCAAAAAATCTGATTTTCATCTTTGTTAATATTTTTTCAGATCACTGAAAATAAAAAAAGTCATTAACAAAAGATCACTTTCCCTGCTCCCTGTATCATAAGTAAAATCCATCACAACTAAAGCCGTAGAGCAACTCCAATATTTTTAAGCAATAGCATGCATGTTAGAACTTGAGCTTTTTAAATATTATTACTCATTAATTACAGGAGAGAGTGTGTGGCAAGGTTTAGGTCCCTAGTTTAGCGCTCTCTTTTCCTAGTGACATCCATAGAAATACATAAAGGTGCTTCCTCCTAGAAGCTTACAATCCAAACATAAGGCAAGAAGCTACAAATGTGTTCAAACTTCTGGTGAGGCAGACCCTAACTACTTTCTTGATACGGTACCTGCCAGCCACAGTGTATTGGCATTGTTTTATAAGCCATTAGAACAAATAAGAATTTTAAGGAGGAATCTAAGTGGTAAAAGTAAGGAAGCTTCATGGATGTTTATAAAGGATCCCTCCCAAGTAGGAAAAGATACATGAAAGAAAACAATGAAATATTATTTGTAAAACTATTGAACGGGTGATAAAACTGGAATCCTAAACCAGACTAAAAAAGAGATGGTATAACCTTTGGTGCACAGATTAGTAAATTTCAAAGGGGTCCAGCTTTTGGGCATTCTCTTTGGAAATACGTATTTGGAGCATGTTTAGTCCTGTGTGTAATGAACAGTAAGATTCATGGTAGTAATAACAAGGAATAAGATGGCAAAATGTCCTTTTGTGGTTTACACTGCAGTGATCAGTTCAATTCATTTAGCAAAGCTCTGCAGTTGCAGAAAATTACATCTACTGGTATGTGCTTGAAACTCTAGAGATCTTAAACGACAAATTCCAATTTACTAATATATAAATCTATATATTAATAACCTACTTTTAGGAAATGCAAGCCTACTAATATTGAACATGTGGCAGATGTGTGCTGAACATAGCAGCCCTCAAAATGTCTGAAACTGTTTAACCCACTTTCACTTGTTGTGATACAATCCCAAATAATTAAATCTATAGGATATCCTTTGTTGGAAAGAGAAAAAAAATCTTATAGAAAGTTTTATTATAATCTGTCTGACATAAATATAACATAGCTAATTCTGTACCACATAAAAGATTACCTAGAATTATTTTGATTAAAATCCACATGTATACCCTTCTCATAACATTTTTCACAGCTAGTGAACCAGAACACATTTCCAATCATTATATAACAATCTAGTTTCTTAAAATCAAATTAGTTCAAATAGGAGTGTTTGAAAGTTCAGAGTTTTCCTTTGGTGTTGTCCATTACAGAGACATTATTTCCTTCTTTTTTCTGTAAGCTATGAAAATAAACGCATATAAGATGGCAAAAACTTTAAGAAGCAAAAGAGAGAGACAGAACTATCCATTAAAAATCACATAGAAAATTCCCATGTATAAAGGAGTAAGATATATTGCCTATAAGCACCAGTGTTGAAAATAATAGCAGAAACTTACAGGACCTTGGAGTTAGGTGACCTCATGAGATCATTGCCAACTGCTGTTACGCTCTTTCTCCAGGAACTTTGCTATGTGAAATTGTTAGACATACTGGCCAATTTGAACTTGATATTGGAACATATTAAAAATAAAGAGTAAAATTTAATGAAGTCAATGATCACATTTCTAATGGTTATTAGCCTAGAAAATGCACTGAATAGACATGGTGCACATCTGTCAACGCATTCAGGGGGAAAATCTCCTTAAAGCATTGAAGAAATATCTTACAATAATGGAACTGTATACACAGTCATGGGGATATCATGTACCAGCAAGTTTGGGAAATGGCTACATTTCACATGGTGATGACAAGACCATAGGTTTGAAAGCTACCCTACTTAGGGCCTCTTCTGCATAGCAAGCAGTGTGACTGAGATTAAGACCTCTCAGCAAGAAAGACAGATAGCTGTCACTTTAAATATGTATCATAGGCCTCTATAGCAATGTCTAATTTTACATCATGTAGTCCACAGGTAAAAACCTGTATCACTTATATTTCTACCTAGACTAGCTGAGCAGAGAGTGAAGTGCTATTCCAATAGCAGCATTCTTGTCTGGGTCCTTTGGCCAGTGGTTTAGGGAACATTTCAAGCAAAGTTAATCTTAATGACTTTAAATCATGCAATAGTAGTTCATCTGGTGTGCAGTAATGTTGATAAAAAAGGAGCAGCTGGAAAAGCTACGCGCTCCTTTTGCCAGTACTAAATTAATAAGCTGTTACCTATAGTACAAATAGCTCAAACATGCTTTGGTGAATTTCAGACTCACTAAAATGCCTTTCCTGCCAGCTTTTGTTATTGACTACGTTAGAGATGGTGCAGTGACAGTTCCTTCAATCCTTCCAGCCAGAAACAGAAAGCAGGTGAATGGTATTGGAAGGCTGAGCGTGAAATGATCTCACGGCTGTTTATGGGATACAGTAAACCTTGGGAAGAATAACTCTTGAGAGGTTTGGTGAAAAAGTTGCAGAAGGAAAGAGAACAGCCACATGTTCCAGACTGAAACTCACAGAAAGGTTAGAGCTGAAAAGAGTTATAGAGAAGCTGGGAGAAACCGCAGAGCAAAATTTTAGCTCTAGTTTCTATAGTCAAGGCTCTAATCTAAGAATGCAGCTCTGTAATAGTAATCCTCAGTAGCATTGCATTTTATAGGCCTGCTAATCCTATCTTAACGTACTTCATAGGCACACAAAGACCTACTCATGCTGAAGTTCTTACTAGTCTTAAGTGCAAATTGTGCAAGGAGTTTTGGATGTGCAGATTCCTGCAACTGTCAAGAGCTGACAGTGCTCTGCTAAGGAAGAAAAAAGATTGTTTGAAGTTCACCAAAGATGTGAGGCTGTATTTCTGTGGTTGATAAAACAAATGTGTGACCAGATCTGACGCTACTTTTCCCCATTAGCACCACTAAGTACCTCTCAGCGTGAACTGCCTTTGGCTGCATAGTTTTAAGGCACATGTGAGTGACAAAAATGAGGGAACAAAGCAGCACTCTTCAGCAATGTGACTACATCTTAGTCATGTGCACAATACTGTGTATACTCATATAGTGTCTAACCTCAACTGTCAAAACTAAGTGGATAGGGTCAAAACAGAAAAGTATCAATAATTCCACTGTAAAAATAATTATTTTGACCTAAACTGAAAATCTACAGGATGTGTCCTGCGAAACATTTGATTTAACTGTCAAAGTGGCACTACTGCTCACAAGGACTGAAATATTGATGATATTGCATTCAGATAATGTAAGTACAGGAACAGGCATTTTTAACATTTAGTTTTATTTTACAGTTGCTTCATTACTGTTGTAATTGTTTGTGCCTCCAATCAGAGGTTGCAAGACAATAAAAACAAGACAATAGACAAGCATAAGCTTGTTTATTTGAGAAGCAGGACTGATCTCTACATTTGGTTTCTTATTCACATGTCTGTACTTTTTCTTTACATGTACTGGAACTGCCTCTTCTGTGGCCTTGCAGTGAACCAGACCTGACAAATGATCCGGTTGAAGAGAGCCAAATTTGGTGGGTTTTTTTTTGTCAGATTAGTTTCCAGGCACTTCCAGTTCCCTAGTTGAGTCCCCTACACTGCTACAGAATGTCCCAGCACAAAGAAAAAGGCAGCGTGGGAGTAGAAGCAAACAACCAAAGAAGCTGAGTATGGAAATTATCTTCACCAAACTACTGCTTCAGCTTGTAAGATGAAGTTCCAAAGATTATTTATGCTTCAGCCATGTATTACAGCTCCTATCTTCCCAGTGAAACAACCGCAACCATTGCAAAATCTAAAAGTCAGGAGGATAAACACTAGGAGATAAAAAACCCTTGAAGGACAAGACTTTCATTTGTTCTGCCCTTAAACTAGCAGTAGCAGAATCTTAATGTATCATTGGCAGTGATACTGAAATAGTAACAAAGGAAAAAATAGGAATTAACCATTTAAAAGTCATCTGTAAAGGCCTGGAGGTTATGTGATGTATGCCATCTTCACCAGTACACAAGGAATTGTAGGGAGGGCTTTCAGAACCTGCTGTCTCTTTCCAGGATGGCTCTTTTACACTCTTTATTCCTATTCTGCCCAATAAATCCCCTTTACCCATTTTCTCTTGGGTGTTTTGTTTTGTTTCCAGTATCCATAAAACTGACTCTGGCCTCAGTGATTTCTAGAGAACATGCTGAATGTCTTAGCATGTTGTATGTCTGGAGAGATTGATCATATTTTAATTCTACATGAAAGGCTGTTAAACTGCAAATTAAACACTCTGGTTTTCCAAAGTCCATCATTATAATTAGATGCAGTTAACAATTCTTTTTGCTCCAGAAAGACCCTTTTCTCCCCTACAAAGAACTCAGTTAAAATAAATAGCATTCTATGTGGCAGTGATTTATCTTTGATAGCTTCATTTCACTAATTCTTCCCTAATCATAGGTTCTGTCTGCTTAACAAACTGTACCCACATTATCGATGGATACCTCTGAATGAGCTCAGAACATGTTTTACACAGACAGGCATGTTAAGCACCACTTCAGAAACACAATTGTAACTGATTTTCAAACTCTTCGCCACATGGATTCAGTTGGGCATCATTTCCATTTCTGGAGTGGGAAAAGTAGTGATTTGCTGCTAGTTAAAACTGGAGATGAAACTTGTTCACCACCAACTCAGTGGCAATCATTTACTGACGTGCACTGCAGCCACGGGTAATTTTGGTAAGGTTACACTAGCCAGGTTAGGCAACAAAGCAAAAGAAAAGGAACACCAAAGGGAAGAAACAGAAATGCACATCAGCATTGACCCAAGCTCTTCCTTTATGTCCCTCCTCTTGTGCCTGCCATGGATTTCATTGAAGAGCCCCTGGATCCCAAATACCCACAGGTTTTTCAGAGGTTGTTTTTGCTACATCATTTTGGGACCTCAGTGAACAGCATATTTCAAAGACTGCCAGAGCACTAGCAACAGGTGGACATTTTTATATCATAAAACTAAAGAGTGAAGCAGGTGCATCCCCTGGTGGCAGTCTGATTTATTTTCTGGTAACAAAAAGACCAGTCTAAAATCTCCGTAAGAAAAACTGGAGTTCTGGTTTTAATCATTTATGTATTGATTACACAGTTTTTTGTAAACAACAGAGAGAAAGAAGAATATTTTAAAGTGATTTTGTCATTTTTGTCAGGGTAGCTGAAGCTACAAAGACTTGCAAAACCCATGTGATTTTTGGACGTTCCAATTATGAAACCATGGGAATTACTTGGAAAGACAGACTTGGAAGCAGCAGGCTAGTCAATTGGATTTGCACTGCAAAAATTCCCACATTACTTCTGAAATTCTTTTGTTACTGAAAACATTACACTCTGCATTAGCAGGAAACCAGCTTTCAGCCAAACGACCCAAGAGGTTAATTGTTTTCCAAAGCCGGAAGGGACAACTACAATCACTTTCTGAGTTCTCTTACATAGCATAAAACAATGGCATCTTCCAAGGAAGTTCTGGAATTTCTTCCGCACATCCTTCCTAAGTGTTCAGAAGCTTAACTCTCTGTACTCATACTGAAAATTAGTAGCATCAGCTTTATGAAGTACAGGAACAAATTTCGACATCTCTGCCAGAGATGTCAGGCTCTGATCTTCACTCTGACCATTTATCCCCAGTGTAACTACATAGAAATAGACCTGACAGTTACTAAGTGCTGATGGTAGCTACAGTCTCTACAGTCCCCATCCAGGCCTTCATGTACCTCTGAAGAACTATGTGTACAAGTCCTGGCATTTTTGACAGCTCAGTGTGAGCAGAAATGTTGCAAACCAAAACCTAGTTCTCTGGCTCTTGTGAACAATGTTGGCATCTAGGCTCAGACCCCCCCGAGAAAATAGCTGAGGTAGATGAGGAACACAGGCTCCTAGAAATTTCAGCTGAATTAAGAGTATTTATTGGTAACCTTGGGCTCCCTTCTTAATGCTCAGGTGCTGCCTTAAACTGAGGCATTGCTGTTAGCAGAAAATGATATTTTTTTTTAAAGCAAGGCAAAGTAAACAGAATGGCTAGAATGCCCTACGACTGCTTTACATAACATGTGATGCTGTAACTAAGGTATGGGGCCCCATCTGACATTAAGATAGGAAGTCACTGGTATCTCTTATTTACATTATGTATTAAATGGATTACAATTTCAGATTATTCAGTTGTTACCTATATTTTAATAATGCTCTATTTTTTCCCAGTGGATCAAGGGATAAATGGATTTTAAAATAACATCCATTTTGATACTATGTGACAGGCACGCTCTTCTCCTTCCTTGCGTTGCATGTAAAACTATGCTGCAAATTAAGAATGCACAGCAGGATTTGAACATTTCTATAGAAATATGAAGCTGAACTACATTTTGATCGCTCAGTCCTATGTTGCTGTGCCATCTGGTGGGTAAGAGTTTGTAATGCAGAGGCAGGCAAAAATACCACCAAAGTCCATCCTCCCTCCCCTTCTTTTCCAGTCCTTTTCATGTTTTTCCTTCATAAAACTTAATTTTCTGATTTTTTTTTATTTTGTCTGTGTCTTCAGGCAAAAGAGCATCAACGAAAATGAGATATCTAGACATAAATGACAGTGCTATTTTTGCCACTACAGACTATTTGGGACATCAGGAGGATGCTGGCACAGAACTACGCCCTTCTGGAAAGCCAAAGCTATTACATTTAAAAGCTGGACAAACCTCAGGATGTCTATACTTTGTTTACTGCAATGGCATGTTATGAAGTACAATACATGTATCTGTAATGAACTGAATTGATACAAAAAGGTAAATCTGAGGCATAAAGAAGTGACATCTTCCTTTCTCCTGTACAATTTTATGTCTGTCTACACAGAACTATATAACTCATACAGGGGTTTAAACCACAAGTTTTACATAATGACTGTTTTAATACAGAAATCTACCACGATTTCTTCACTGTCTCTCATCCCCATCAGATGCCTTTGGTTAGTAAAGCACATTGAAGTCGATGACTCAGAAAGGAGCTCAGGTACTTTTCATTTCAACTGTATGCAGAGAATACAGAAAAAAACAACTTCTCTTCTGCAGTAAACAGGATTAGACAAGAAATCCCACGTTTTAAACAAGATACCTAGTTTCTCTACTGGGTCTCATTAATCTTACATCCTTACTAAGAATAAACCTTGTCTGCGGACCTCCGTTAGCCTTTCTGTGGGCTGGAAGTTGACACATAAAATAATTAAGCCTTACACTCAGGTGGGTGGAAAGGCTGATTCAGTTGTTTACTCAGAACTTAGTGCATTTCTGTTGGGGTTTTTGGTTTGTTTGTTTTCATTATTATTGTTGCAGAGTCTATGACTGCAAGAACATTCAGGAATACTCACAGAGTATCAGAGGCACTTCATATTCTAAAAAGTCAGAGAAGCTGATGGTTATTCAGATACAAAGTACTGAAATTCAAGATTATTCAATCTGGTGTTTGAGGTTTTTTTAGAAATACTAACAATTTAAAACCACTAGTGAATACGTCAGAAGTAAAGACAAAACTGACACAGGAGGATATTTGCACCACTACAGTGTGATATAATCTAGAATGTTTCTTCCTTCAAATGGATTGACTTACCCATTATCCAACCCATTCTGCCCAAGTTTTCTTCCTATGTCACCTACCATCACACCTGGCACTGGTAGGAGAGTTTTTGTATCTCGAATCTGCATAGAAGAAGGAACAAAATATTATTTCAGTTGTGGAATAATGAAAGTTACTGGCTGAACTTCTGAAACAGTGAAAATATTCCCAACTTGGATTCTGCTATTATGCTGAAGAAAACTCCCTGTTGTTTTCAAGCACATAATCCCGGATATAACTTGTACTCATTCAGGACACAGATCCCTTAATGAAAACTACTTTGGCAATATGACACTAATTGCATCACTGTGTTAAATATGCCTTAACACTGATGACTGCTTTCATCAGACTACATTGAAACCTTCTTCAAGTGTACACAAACACAGCAGAAATCAATGGAACTTTTATGTAACAACCAGCTTTGAGATATTCCCTAATTTTGTAATAAATTCTGCTCAGTCTGCGACTACTTCATTTTACTATGGACAACTTCTCTACTGCATTGCTGTTTTTTCCAATGACTTTAATCTTAGAAACTGCTATCTGTGGTAGAAGCTTGCAGATTTCATGCAGATCAGCCTGCAGCACTGGCAGACATAAATCATCTTAAACTTCATCCAAGGCTTTCAGGATTTACTATAGCACAGGTTAGTTCTAACTATACGAGTAGTGTGATAACCTGGAGGCTTTTCTGGAGCTTTTTTGTATTTTTCAGAAGTTTCTGCAGAAAACTGACAGTACAAAACTGGCCGTACACTCATCACAAAATCAGTGAACATTGAAAACCAGTACACTTGTTACAATTGCAAAAAATGTTAAAGGCACTAAGTAAAGAATTGTTTGGTCAGATATAAACAACAGCGTAACAGAAAGTCTTCAAGTTGAAGCCAGTCCCCCCCAAGGAAAACAAAAAAGATTGGCAATATTTGTACTTTACCTGTACAATAAAGGAATGTAGTCCATGGCACTGTCCATCAGGAGTATAAAGTTGAGCATACACAACTGCATGAGTGGCGTGTTTCCCCATATTACCAACCCAGAACTTTGCAGCTTCAAAGTCAGGAGTATTGATGATAAATTCCTGTATCCAGGAAGAAAGTAGCAAATGACATAAATCCTAAAAATCAACACACAGCTATTTTCTATTTTTTTTTTTCATGACCATAGTAATGTTTTGGAAACATCCATTAGCTGCCAGGATTTCATTCCATACTCCACTCCAACAGCTGAGATCTCTCTTACTGTATTCAACTTTGGAGAGAAGCTTGGAAAAATCTGGAGCTGAAAAAGTTCATTACTTCATTGTAAAGCCTGAAATTCAGCCTTATAATTGGCCATTTAAACTGTTCAAAAAAAGTAAAGCAAAGTGATGAACTCAGAAGCATTTCCAAGATCTCAGGTTAAGCTGAGCTGTGAGTCCACGTGAGAGACTGTGAGGGCCATTTCAGCTGTGAGGGCTAAACCTATGCAGTTTTGTATGGAAAAGAAGCCTGGTTAACAGTGTGAAAAGCAGTGCACTTCCCAGTTTGGACAATTAGGGAACCATGTCGAGGAATTCTGAAGAATACATGTATCCTGAAATTTAGACATAGCTTCAGCATTCAGAATTTTAGACTCCAAATTATGTGCATTCTGAATGTAAAAGAAATCAGAACTCAGAGCTTCATGATATTAACAAAGATTTAGTCATTTCGGCCATTTTTACTACAATGCCCTCATCACCAGCCTAAAACTCAATTTATTTAAATGGAACTTTTCATGCTGTCAATCTCACAAGTCTGTTGTTTGTTTTTCATGGAGATCTGATCATTCACGTTGCACAAATGCTCACTGATTTGCCTGCATATGAAAATTCACAGACAGGAATGTTGTCCTACTGAAGAATATAAAATCTTACGTTTCAAATCTATGATTCCTATTTCTTAGTCTTCTGAAGCTACGTTAAGATGTGCCACTGTTGACAGTAATAGCACCCACTTCTGTATATTACAGTGCAATAAAAAGCCAGAGTCTTTGGGGAAGATGATAAGCCTCCCTTCTGGGGACATTAAGTAACACATTTTAAATTCAACTTGGCATAAATGCTGCATGCAGATGACAAAAAGAAAATTCTATCGGTCTCCCCTTTTAACTTCCATTTTCTTCTACCTTAACATAAAACTACTGTAATTTCTGAATAAATGTTAGGACAATAAATTTATTTCTGCAGTAATATTGCTTTCAGAAAGCAAATTATCAGTAGTAAGCACTCCCCTAATGGAAAAAGCAGTTTATTGTTTTCCTCTTTGGGTCTCTCTTATAGTCTTGTTATCTCTTTTTTGTATTTCTTTTACTCAACCTCAGGAAATAATGCTAATCTTTGTATATAAAGCCTTCACTTTTAAAGACAAAAGACAATATAATCTGCATGTTCAACTATTCCTAAAGAGACACAACAATGAAGAAGACTGCTATCCTTATTTTATATCACAGTCAGAAGTGAGAGCAAGAAAACAGTAATTGCTGGGTTTATTGTAATTATTTATAATAATGTAAATACATGGCCTTTTTCTTCTTTTTTACATTTGGAGTTGCACTTAGTTCGTTCTTGTTAAACAAAGAAATCCCCAAATCATTCTGCTCTGTTAGTAAATAACAGAGCTTAAGTGTCAAATACTATTCCTGTGCATTAATAACTAACCTGAGTGCTAGGATCAAATGTGGCAGTAGTCCGTATGCCTTTGGTATTAGTTCCATGGCTGAGTTCAGTCAGAGCAAAACATCCAAAAATCTAAATAAACAGATAAAAGGCATGTTGTCATAGCAACTAAAATGATAACATTATCAAATTATTGCAAATTGAGCTGTGAAAGTAACTTGCAAGTGCAAGAAACTAGTCAAATGTAACCCTAAGGCTACGACATCATGCCTATGGTAGAGTTAAAGGTACTTTTTCCTTTGCTGATGGATGACTCATTCAGGCAAGTACAAATTATTACATCCACTGACCAAGTTTCCAGCTGTCTGGGTTGAAAGAACTGTTGCATGGTGAAAATCTGCAAGTTTGCTTGCATTACAAGCAGTTCTGGGAACTCCCAAAGTTAGGGGAAAACCAGAATGGGGCTGTTTATTTTTAAAATTGCAAATAGCCTTAATTATTGAAGAGGATAAATTTCTATCAGATCAATGTATGGATACACTTGGTTCTCGGCAGCATTTGGGAACACTGTCTGATTGAAGCTCCACTGAGATGTGCATGCTGCAACCCTTTACCCTATACTGGTTTGGCCTGTAGTATGCTCTTCAGTAACAAACCTTTTGAAAAGCAAGTGAGAATAAAACAACAAAACAAAAAACTGAAGCTTCAGGCAAAATAATTCTGACAAATGCATATCCTAAGGCTTTTGCTTTGGCTGAGAGTCATTAAAGGAGTTTATCCTGATCTTCAGCATGGGGTATCCAATCAGAACTATGTAGCAGTATATTGCTGTCTATGAGCAGACAGAAAACCACACAATTTCAGAAAATTAAATAAGCAACAAAGGTGCATGGCTAGCAAAAATAAAAAAGAATAAGTGATAAAGATAACAAGAGAAGCATGAAGCTAAATTGGAGTGTACTTAGCATATATATCTTGCAAAATCAAAAAGGGTCAGGCTGGACAGCGAATGCTGCCCACATGGCCAAATGGCATAGACAGAAGAAACTGTTCAGGATTGGCTCCTTCTATATCAGATAGGCTGCACTTACTCTGCAAGGTACTTGGTCCTGAGTCTCCACTGGACTCCATGTGGTGTTTCTGTGGCATTAAGACATTATTATTTTCCATTTTATAGCACCAGAATGTAATTTTTATAGCATTGTGGCAAGGGTATGTTTTGCACAGTGTATGATGTAGATGTGGGAGGAAGGAGTGTTCGACCATGCAAAACTTGCTAGCATACTCTTAAATGAATGTGGATGGAGACTAAATTGGTATCATCTACATTGCCTTTTGGGGGAACTAAACTTTGTCTGCATGTTAACTTGGACAGTCTAAGACAGATCCAGAAAGTGGCATAATAGCTAGCAGTGAGGATAGTCAGGGCTTAGTGCTTTGATCTGCTCCTTGATCTTTTATTTTGCTGTTTAGAAGTACCTAGGTACATAAAGAGATCAGAATTAAAAAAAAAGTGCAGGAGATGCCACGGTTCTGACTGTGCCCATTGCTCACAAATTAAAAAAAAAAATTACCTCCATGCTATAAATTTGTTTCACAAAGTCTGCAAACCTCTTAGAAGCACTCAAAATCGGACCTGCAAACACCTGTAAAAACAGAGAATTAGGAATGAAATCTGTGACCCTGCGACAGAAAGCACAAATTGCTCATGCATAATAATTTGTAATAGTGATGTCCATTAAACAGACCAGTAAACCACTATTTAGTCTATAGCTGGAGGAGTAAGTGAGGATTTGATTGTGTCAAGGCCCCATTGCAGGGGACTGAACTTTACACAGCTCTAACCTGATCAAGCCTTCATTGCAAGCCCTTAAAAATGCTTAATGAGATCACTTTGCACTGGTTGTGATGTCTCCGTGAGTAAAGTAAAACTTTAAGACTATTCTAGTTAATTTTATTGCAAGAGAAGGTAGCTGCTTCAAGATCAGACACCGTTTTTAAAGCTACCTTTGGTTTTTCTAGATGGGTATTCACATAATAAAACTACAACAACTCCTCTGCCATGTGTATAGTAATAATTAATTCAACTAATATTATTTGACCAGCTATGTCAAGTATTCTTCTTGAGAGGCTCATCTAAGGAGCAACTGAGGAACAGAATCCCAGCCACTGATGTCACTAAGAAACTTTATATTCCTTCTGGATTCTGCCTTGAATCAAGTGACTGGGGATTAGGCAAGAAAGTTTCTGATACCTGTATCTGTAGCAAAGACATAGCTACCAAACAGGGCCCAACAACCAAGTTCTTTGGCTGCTGTTATGCTAGAGAGGAGGCAGAAGTGTGTTTACCAAAAGAAAGTGGAGCTGTAGGAATCAAGGTATCTTTCTGTAGCCCTGTCTATACTGCTCCACTTGACTTTTCCAGTGAGATTCCAGGGGAGACAGGACTTAATGACAAAGATGTGCTAAGTTCATCCCACAGCTGATTCTTTTAAACAGTTAAACTGAATTATATTTTTGAAAACAAAGGACTGGGGAAAAGGTACAGCTTTAATAAAATAGGCAGAAAACTACAGAATTCTGTTATTCAAGACACTTAAATTCAAATATACACCCTTATACTTTTTGAACTGTACTTACACTGCAATGTAAGAAGTACTGGAGACATGGAGACCAATCGTACATTCCTATACAGATCATTAGATTAAATATCTTTAATGGGTTCTCTGTGATCTCTTGCAGAGTAAGAAAATCATACTCAAAGAGCCTTTTACAGCGCAGAAATGTCAGCTCCTGATATTTTTCACGGCACAAATCTTCGCCAGGACGATGTGCAAATAGAGGATCGCTTTCCAGAGCAGAGAAGATTCTATTCTTGAGGTGGAAAAAATGACATCATACTGTTAACCTAAAATTATTAGCAAAACAAGTTAATGTTCTTCTAGGATAATACTAGGCCTCAAACTACAACTGTTTGTTAGAAGAACTAAATTTATAAAGCCAAAATTCCAGAGAGATAAAAAATATATTTAAATGGTCTGAACTAATTCTGGGAAAATATAGTTCTTTCTCAGTTTGAAATTAACTTCTGTAATATAGCACCTGCTGGTCTCCCCTGTCCTGATGTTCAGTAATGAGAGTTTAAGTAGGTTGCTTAAAAGTTCTGCTCTGGAAACTGGATGTGCAAAACCAATTTCTTCATGCTCCATATCTATAGAGTATAAATGCTCCATATCTACAGAGTATATATACTGTCACTTTGAAAATCACATACTCCCAAAATTAAAACATGCTTACAATTCTTGCAAAGTTTACCTTCATCTGGATGACATCTTCGCCATCTAGGAACACTGCCATCTCCTTCCAGTTGAAGGAAGCTTTCCTACGATATCTGCAAAGCGGTCCTTTAGGGAAATCTGGTAGCAAAGTATCCCATGAGCTTTGGTTGCCAGTAGCTTCTTTCAGTGTGGGTGCCATTTTTAGCTAAACTGCACCAAACAAGAAAAGATACATCATAAACTGAAGCACCACAGATGCCTAATTTTTTAATAATAAAAAGAAATCAAAAGGGTTGTTAATTAAATCCACAGACTTTTTCAAATGCATGAGTACAAAAGCCTTTCATCAAATGTAAATGAATTATATGGTCTTTCTTACTAAAATAAAAACTCAACCTTGTTAAATAAGCAAAATATGAAACAATGACACCATTGGTTAATATTGCATAATAAGAAAGGGAGGATGATACAAAAGATCCATGCAAGCAAATAGCATGTCTTAAATAACAAAACATGAATAATTGTTACCTCACTTCTAACTTACATGCAAAATAATAGAAGAAAAATAAAGCACCCAAACGTGCATACAAAGCCGTGTTCAAATGCAGAGGATGCCTGTATCATTTCCACATTACTAATTAGCATTTAAACAACTTCTAAGTGGCATGTTGGTTATATATTAAGGTTTGTTTTCATGTAATGAAGTGATGAGCCATTGTTCATGCTTAAACATGAGACAGAAGACATCAGTGAACCATTGGGAATACTGTTCCTATCTTCCACTGGTTGAATATATGAAAGAATACATTTTGATATGGTGAACATTTAGAATTGTGAAACTAGACCAGTATCAGTGTGTTGTCTATCACTAACACTGACTTGAATAGAATAGGCAAATGGGACAAGCAGGTAGCTCTGTCTGCAATGGGTCTGTGAAAGGTACAGATTAATCCTGCATAAAAGTAACTACCATCGTAGTAACTACAGAACACATAAAGCTATAGGGCTTTTCTTCTACATGGTTGATGGAGTTCTGGAAAATTGTAAGCACATAGGTATGCACTTCTCTTAAGTGTCATATTGCCATACTTAAATTTAAAATAATACAAAGTATAACCTTTGCAACTGCACTTAAACGCCACCTTTCCTTCTTTCTTCCCCAAAGTTCAAATTTTCATTTCTGTTTGTTCTGGTTTCTGTTATTATTCTGTTGGAGTAATTTTTTTTCTTGGCAGCTGGTACAGTGCTGTGTTTCGGATTTAGTGTGACAGCAATACTGATAACATATGGATCTTTTAATTGTTGCTAAGCAGTGCTTATCCTGAACAAGGACTTTCCAGTCGCATGCTCTGTCTGTGAGTAGGGGCACAAGAAGCCAGGAGGAAGCAGAGACACCTGACCTGAACTAGCCAAAGGGGTATTCCAGACCACAGCACATCATGCCCAGTATATAAACTGGGCGGAGTTACCTGGACGGGGATGATCACTGCTCAGGTTGGTCTGAGCACTGGTCAGCGGGTAGTGAGCAATTGTATTGTGCATCACTTGTCTTTCTTAGGTTCCCTCTCTTTTTCCTGCTATAATTATTATTATTGTATTTTACCTTATTTAAATTATTAAATTGTTCTTATCTCAGCCTGTGGGTTTTACCTTTTTCTGATTCCCCTCTCCATCCCACTGGGCAACGGAACGAGTAAACAACCACGTGCTACCTTAGTTGCCAGCTAGGGTTAAACCACAACACTGTTATGTGATGGCTTGTCACATTCTTAGTCTGTCTTCCCACTAAGTATTTTTTTATGAATACAATCTTTCTTTCGAGA